GATCTCATGACCCTGAGATCATGACCCGAGCCGAAAACAAGAGTCTGACGCCCAACCAACTGAGCCACCTAGGCGCCCCACCTTGAAGCTTCGTTAGTTGCTGGTGGTCCCAGGACTAGCACTGAACGTTCCTGTCTCCCAGTCCCGAGGTGGTTTCCTTCTCTCTGGGAAGCAGTGGGGGCATGCAGAGCTCTCCTTTTAGTTCAGTGGTCATTCATATGAGAAGTCCTATGTCACATACTGTACAGGACAGCCAACATTCATCATTTATTTGTTCTGTAAGTAGGTACTGAGCTCCCACTCTGTGGCAGGCTCTGTGTAGATACTTGGGGCGAAACAGTGAGCAAGACAGACAGGACTTCTGCCCTGGTGACAGTTACAGAATAGTAGGGAAGAAAGATAACAAAACAGACAAACATATTTAGGAATTGTGATTAATGCCAAGGAATAATGGGGGGCCCATGCATTTATGCACCAGACACTGGGCCATGGAGTTCTGTGAGCATCATCTGATTTAATCTGTGAGCATCATCTGATTTAATCCTCACAACTAGCCTCTGAAAGGAGGTGGGTGGATGAAGACACAGAGGTTCAGAGAAGCCCAAGCAATTTTCCTGGCCTCGCAGACTAGGGAGGGAGACGACCAAACAGCTAATTTTCTGTGGAAATAAGGACTATCTTATTGCTGTGAATAAACAGAAAGGCCTTGAGGGCCATGCTAAGAGACTCTTCGGTAGGCAGTGGGGGGCACTGAAGGTTTGAAGCAGGGAGAGGAGTGTCTGTGGTCAGGTCTCTGTTTTAAAGATTTATTTATTTGAGAGAGCGAGAATGAGAGAGAGAGTACATGAGAGGGGGGAGGGTTAGAGGGAGAAGCAGGCTCCCCGCCGAGCAGGGAGCCCGATGTGGGACTCGATCCCGGGACTCCAGGATCATGACCTGAGCCGAAGGCAGTCGCTCAACCAACTGAGCCACCCAGGCACCCCCAGGTCTCTGTTTTAGAAAGCTCACACAGGCAGCTCCGTGGAGGATGGATAGGAGGGGGGAGCCTGGGGACCCTGTAGGAAGTTCTGAAGGTTGTCTTGGAGAGTAGTAAGGGGGGACTGGACCAGCGTGGAGGCCACAGTGGTGGAGGGAAACAGATGGATTGGAGAGAGCGTCAGTAAGGAAAACCGACAGGACCAGGTAATAGAGCAGACGTGGCATACAGGTGGGGCGGGTTTCGTTGATGGGGATCCCAAGTGGCGTTTGGCTCCTGAGCCACCAGGAGCCACCAGCGTGTGGATTCTGCCCCTAGGTAGCCGGCGGCTGGTGGATGTGATGGATGTGAACACCCAGAAGGGCACGGAGATGAGCATGTCCCAGTTTGTGCGGTACTACGAGACGCCCGAGGCCCAGCGGGACAAGCTGTACAACGTCATCAGCCTTGAGTTCAGCCACACCAAGCTGGAGCACCTGGTCAAGCGTCCGACTGTGGTAGGGCCCCCCCGGCCGCGGTCCCCTCCCCGACACCTGCCCCCTCCCCTCCTCGCCTGGCTTCTCCTGCTGCCCAGGCTCGAGGCCAGGCCGTGCCAGCCCCAGGGAAGGGCAGGTGGTGAGGGGGGCCTGGCAGAAGGGCACCCCCCAGACAGGAAGTGCTGACGGTGGTCTGGCTTTCAGGTAGATCTGGTGGATTGGGTGGACAACATGTGGCCCCAGCATCTGAAGGAGAAGCAGACGGAAGCCACAAATGCCATTGCCGAGATGAAATACCCGAAAGTGAAGAAGTAAGACTGGCTGTTAGTGGTGGGAGCTGGGCGGGCAGGGGCGCGGGGCGGGGGGTGTCTCACAGCCCTGTGGGCACTGCTGGCATGTGAGGGATATGGGGTCCTTGGCATGGGCAGCCTGGCATCTTGTTGCCTTGGAACGCCAGGGCTCTGCCTTCCCCATCCAGATGGGCCTTCGGCCTCCCTGCCGGCTCTACCCAGGGGATGTGATCGGAGGGGGGAGGAAGAATAATGGGGCCATCTCTGTGTGCGTGTGCATGCTTGTCATACCTTTATCTCCTCCCGCCAAGGGATAGCACGTCCTGGGAGCGGGCATCTTCAGAAAGACCAGCTCACCGTGAACACTTTGCTTTTGCCGGGGGCTGGGGAGGGGGGTCTGGAGTTCTTTTGCTCCTTGCTGTGGAGACCCAGGGCTTTTCCCAAACAAAGTGCAAGGGCTACTTACTCATCAAACACTCCTTAGATGGTGTCTCCGCATGGCTGGTGGGCTCTGGGCTGGGAAGGTGGCTGCGTCTAATTGCAGAGACATCACTACATGTGGACCAGTAAGTCCTGAGACCCGTTGTTTAACTTGGGCAGAGGCACCTAGGATCCCCTCTTTCTAGAATTTCAGTAACGGACCCTTGGGACCCTTGGGGCTACCTTAGGGCTCTCACATCTCAGGCCATCTGTGTTTCCATCTCCGAAACGGGAAGGAGATGCTGGTTGTCCCGGGCAGGACTGCTGCTTTGGGCTTCCTAGAAGAGTTGGCCCTGCTGGCTCCGAATCCATTAGCATCTCTCTGCTCAGCCCTGCTGCCAGGAGTGCCCCCAGGAGCTTGAGGGCTGTGAGCTTTTCATTCACTCCACCCTTCATTCAGGGCGGAGTGAATGCAGACTCGGTGCCAGGCTGTGTAAGGGAGGCCAGCGTGCTGGCCCTGAGCTTCTCAAGGCTTTGCTTTCAAGCTCTCTCTTTCTTTAATTATTTCTCAGGCATTTTTTCCTCCCCTTGAAGCTGAAGCTCCTTACATCCGTTGGATTTGGGCTACATCAAACACAAAGAGTGGGCTTAAGGTGGGGAGGGTGGGAGGGTTTTCAGTTCTGTTCCTTTCCCATTCGATCACAGCAAAATTTCCGGAGCCCTTGGGATGGGGAAGTAAAAGATGAACAAGACTAGGAGCACTTACTTTCTAGAGAATGTGTCCTAAAACACATGGGATGAGGTGCAACTCTCATCCCAGGTAGAGGGAGACAGGCTCCTGGGAGGGGAACAGGGAGAGGAGGAATCCTTTCTGGCTGGTGGCATTGGGAAGTCCTCTTGGAGGGGACATTGGACGTGGGCTTTAAAGGATAGAGGAGATAGGACGGATGTGCGGAGGGATGGGGTTAGTGAAGTGCCAAGGGCCTTGAAGGACTCATGAGGGGAGAGTTGAAGGAAAGAGTGTGGGACTCAGAGATTAGTTAGAGGCAGATCATAGCTCTCATTGGTTGATTGGGTGATTGATTCATTCATTCAGCATGAGTATTAAACATCTGATTGGTGCTGGGCACCGGACATACGGTGAGGAGAAATCCAGATCAGAGCTTACAGTCTCTCAGGAGACAGACATTCATCCAACAACCAGAGAAACAAATGGAAATTTGCAGCCGTGTTAAGGCCACAAGGCAGAGATCCACGGTGCTAGAGAAGCATGTACCAGCGTACTCGTGGTCACGGAAGGCAGGGCAGGTGTCCCCAAGATGGAGTCTGAAGAGAGAGGAGTTACTTAGGAGAAGAGGCCTGGGAAGAGCTTTCCTGGCTGCGTGCGGAGAGCCTGGTGGGATGGTTAGGAAGGGCGGGGAGAGGGGCGACAGGTAGACCTGCCGAAGGAAGGTTAGTGAGGCTGGAATAGAGCAAGGGAAGGGGGCAGTGGGTGCAGGATGGTGGGCGGGCCAGGCTGATCAGGGCCCGATGTGCCATAGTGAAGGGTCTGTGTTTCTTCTAAGAGCAGTCAGAAACCTCTGTGAGGTTTTTTTTTTTTTTTAAGATTTTATTATTTGACAGAGAAAGCAAGGGATGGAGAGAGCACAAGTAGGGGGAGTAGGAGAGGGACAGGGAGAAGCCGGATCCTCACTGAGCAGGGAGCCCGATGTGGGACTCAATCCCAGGACCCCGGGATCATGACCTGAGCTGAGCAGATGCTCAACTGACTGAGCCACCCAGGTGCCCTGAGATTTTTTTTTTTAAGATTTATTTATTTATTTGAGAGAGAGAAGGAGCACGCTTGAGTGGGGGGAGGAGGGGCAGAGGGAGAGGGAGAGAGACAGTCTCAAGTAGACTTCCTGCTGAGCACTGAGCCTAATGCGGGGCTTGATCGCATGGCCCTGAAATCACCACCGGAGAGAAATCAAAAGTTGGTCGCTCAACGGACTGAGCCACCCAGGAGCCTGTCTCTATGAGATTTTAAGCAGAAAGGGATGTGTTCAGATTTGCTTTCTGCAAGTTCTGCTGCTGTGTGGATTGTAGAAGCTGGGAGTGGAGTGGTGCATCATCTCTATGAGGGCAAATGATGGGGCAGGAGGGAACAGGGGACAAATGGGACATGTATCTAGGAAGGTAAAATAGCGCTGGAGGACATCTATTTCAATTACTTTGCCTCCTTCAGATGTTTGGTATATTCTTTGCTTTATTGGAAAATTCCTCTAAATAGTTTAATTCTATTAATACATTGAGAATCTTATCTGATTAGGAAATAAAGGTTCACATACAATTTTCTAGAACCACATGCTTCAACACATTGGTTGGATTGTGTGGCAAATACATTTACAACCCCGTCAGTGCCGTGGGAACTTGTTATAGGATTTGAACCTTGTTAGGAAGGAAGTTGTCAGCTTGGAAATAGTCCGTTGGTTTGGCTGAAAAGAATGCTGATTTCAGTTAATCAGCAAGGTAAAAATCCCACAATGATGAAGTCCTCTGGGACCGTAGAGTGGTTCTGTGGAATTTAATTAAAATGACACCATTTCTAGAAGTCAGAGCTTCCATGCTGATGGGCCACCTGAATTGAGGTTCCAGGAGGGAAGAGAGGAGTGTTATAGACCCATTATTGCCTTCTCTCTGGCTCCAGGATTTGTGCAGTTTGATCATGGCGAGGGGGTCAGAATTTTAATGGGTTTTGGTTGAGATACTTAAGGCTAGGGGTGCTAACATTTGTCAAGGGGGTAGCTGTAACTTCGTGGGAGACAAAAGATGTAAAGGTCACATTAGTTATCTGTTGCTGCCTTTACTAAGTGCCCATAAATGCAAGACCCTATTCTGAGTAGTTGGTAGGCTACAGTGACTAAAGCAAAGTCCCCATGCTCAGGGGGCTTATGTTCACGTGGGGAAAAGAGATGGGCGAGCAAACAAGTGAATCATAATTAAGGAGGTGATAAGTGTTGGGAGGAAACATAAAGCAAGATAGAGGGGGGCGGCGCCTGGCTGACTCAGTTGGGGAAACATGCAACTCTTGATCTTGGGGTTGTGAGTTTGAGCCCCGTGTTGGGTGTAGAGATTACTTAAAAAAAAAAAAAAAAAAGCAAGATAAAGGAAAAAGAGGCTGACTCAAGATAAAGGGAAAAGAGAATGAATATCAGCTACCCTGGGCACTTCTGCTGTTGCCTTCTCTCCATCTCTATCCTGCAGGAATGTTTTGCCTGTCCAGAATTATTTGTCTTGGAAAATTCCTTTTTTTTTTTTTTTAAAGATTTTATTTATTTATTTGAGACAGAGAGAATGAGAGACAGAGAGCATGAGAGGGAGGAGGGTCAGAGGGAGAAGCAGACTCCCCGCCGAGCAGGGAGCCCGATGCGGGACTCGATCCCGGGACTCCAGGATCATGACCTGAGCCGAAGGCAGTCGCTTAACCAACTGAGCCACCCAGGCGCCCTTGGAAAATTCCTTATAATTGGATAAACAGTGACAACTATTTGGGAGTACTCCTGTATTAGTTGTTTATTGATGCATAACATTACCCTAAAACTTTATAGCTTAAAAGAAAAACAAAAAACGAAACCTTGGCAGCTTACAGCAACAAAATTGCCTCCCAGTTTCTGTAGGTCAGGAATCTGGGAGTGGCTTACCTGGCTACTTCTGGCTCAGAGTCGCTCAGAAGCTTGTCTCAAGACTTAGGCCTGGGCTGCAGTTACATGAAGGTTTGACTGGGGCTGGAGGGCCCACTTCCAAGATGGTGTGCTCTCTGTTCTTCACCACATAGGCCTCTGCATAGGGTTGCTTGAATGTCCTTGTGGCATGGCAGCTGGTTCTCCCCGCCCCCCCACCCCACAAATGGTTAGAGAGAGAGCAAGGGAGAAGCCACAGTGCCTATGATGACCCAGTTTTGAAAGTTACATGCTGTTTCCTTTGCCATATCCTTTTAATTAAAAGTGAGGCACTTGGTTCAGTGCACACTCAAGAGGAGGGGAGTTTGGCTTTATCTCTGAAAGGGGGGGAGTCTCAAAGGCTTCCATGGACATGTTTTAAAGCCTCCATAATCTCCTAGGTCTATGACATGGGCATACCTTTCTCACTTAGCACGCTGGGTATTATAATGCATTCCAGAAGGAAATTAGCAAGTCTTTTCTGTCCTCACGTGTTGCTTGCAGAAATGAGGCTTGCGGCTTAATGGAGACAAGCTGTGAACTGACAGGCAGGGAAAGGAAGGCATAAAGCCTATGTTTGGCCCCCAGATAATTGGGAGTCAACTGCATTTTTCTCCCTGTACTTTCTGGGGGTGGCAGGAAGAACTGGGAAAAAATTGGGGGGTGCAAAGCTGAAACCCAGACAGGATGAAAATGGGTGCTGGGATGAGCAAGTTTCAAGGCTGCCCCGGGCGGTCTCTGGTGGCCATGGGAAGTCTTTCATCTCCTCTTAGGGACTCAGTTTCCCCTTCTACAGAGTGGGGATCCTGTCATCCCTCCCCCAACTCCCAACCATGCTGTAGGGAAATGGAGTCTTATAGTGGATGTGAGATGTGGGTGGGATGCTTGTCTGTGTGGCCTCAT